AGTTTAAAGTTATGTTGGCTGTAGGTGTGTCAGCTGTCACATCACAGCCTCATTAAACATTTATACTGAAGCTCCAGAGTGTAAAATGCAGCAGCACATTAGTGTTGGTGGAGAAAGACAGGAAGCAAAACGGTCTCAGTCCGTGTTTTTTAAAGTTTCTCCTGAAAGCATGAAGAATGTTTAAGGAAAAAAACATTACTGATCATTTTGGGAATAAAGTCAAAATTTCAATATTAAAGTCGAGATTTTGAACTCTAAACTCTGGTAAAGACGAGATGTGCTGAGCAAAAACACACAAAGGCCCAGCTGGACTTTTGCTGTCAGGTGACCGTGCAGCACCATGCTGTGTGCAAGAGATGCACCATCAGCTGAAACCAGAGTGTGGCTTTTGCAGCAGTTTTACGTCACTCGTGGCAGAACCACCAGTCGTGTCGGCAGTGATGGCAAATATAAATGAGCCATCAGAGCAACAGATCTGCGATAGGAAGCGTGCGGCTTATGCTGCCAACCACAAGTGATCCTGACCTGTCCACTGATCTGTGCTGAACGTCTTCCTGAGGATTAGACGCAGGGCTTGAACAGCATACAAATACATTTGAGGTTCATCTCAAGGCAGAAAACGTTTTCTTTTATACTTGAAGACGTTACAGACGCTGACCTTGGACGAGTGAGTCGGTGCCTTGTGGAGTGATGGGCACGAGCTTTTTCATTCACCTTCCTCCGAGGGGTTGCCTCAGCTGATCCTCTGCTGTCACACGATCCCTGCACACTCACTGCATCGATGAATGTTCTCTGTTGTCTTCCTGTTTTCCTTCTGCCTGTCAGCTCCATCTTCAACATCACCTGCCCACTATAGCCACTATCCCTGCCAAGTAAGTGGGCTAATCTAAAGACAAGGTTGGTGAGTAACTAAAATAATAAAAGAAAAACAAGTTGTTTTTTCTAGTTTGAGAAATGGCATCATGTCTTTGAGCCACAGGGAGTTTGGGGGGTTAGGTGACTTCCAGAGGAGTAAGGATACACCGTGTTGTCACCAGGATGTAAAAGCAAGAACCTTTGTTTTGCAGGGAAGCTGCATTTTTTGATTCAGTGTTTGCCAGTTCAGTGACCCCATGCTTCCTGGCTGGAGGGCAGGAGTGTGGTTTGGAGTCGGACCCACGGCCCTTTACTGCTCGTCTTCCCCCACGTCTCTTTCTCCCTCCCTGCTTTCTCGTCTCTCTTTGCAGCTTGGATTTTGGGTTCTGTTCTGGTGAACTGAAAAAGAAATGATCTGCAGACATAGATAAGCTTTGAGAGATTCCCATAAACTGAATTGTTATTATTAATAGATAAAAATTCACCAGTTGCTGGTGCAATGAAGTCATTAAATGTATCATCTGAAAGCAGAAGTGAATAGAAACCCCGTGGGAAGGAGAAACGGGATTGGTCTAGAGTCCACAGTAAGGGGGGCACAGCTGGATGACAGTCAGAGGGAATCACTTTAAACTGTCAGTGAAAAAAATCAATACAGGAATAAGATTGAAAAAATGAATATGTCCTTGTTTGTGGATTAAGAAGTCTCCAAGAGTCAACGCAGCCATCATGTAGTTAAAATAAGATGTAGATCTAAGTGTGGGGGATTAGGCGCAGGTGTGACCACGAGCGGTCCGTTTGAATGCGTGGCAGATTTCCCAAGGACGTTTCAGGGTAAAGTGGTCTCTATCTTGTAAATGTGTGTCTGTAGAAAAGTTCAGCTTTGAGGTGAGAGAATCACTTAGATCACTTAACAGGATGTTTCACATCTTTAAAATTCAGTTTAGTAATCTGAATAATCGACTACATCAAGATTCTGGAGGATATCAAACATACTGAGAGTCATTTAAATAAAAAGGAAAAAACACTGAGTCACAGAGTCATAACCAAGAAACAACCATTTCTTGGAAGCAACAGTTCCTCCCAGTGTTGGAACATTTGCTGTCAATGTGGATTTCAAAGTTTCCATCCTATGCTTGGTTAGCATGGAGGGGGGGGGGGCATCTATTTTGGAGTGTCCTGTATGTGTTAGACAGTCATTTTGGGGCTTTTGAGATCAGGTGTTTGTATTGGAGATTACGCGTCGGAATTTCAGGAGCGGGACCACGCCTCCGAACACGCTCCCTCCGGTTCCTTCAGTTCTGCAAGCTGATCATTCTCGTTTACGTGCCCCTCCCTCCCTCCTTGTTCTCAATTCTGTAACTTCTTCACTTCTATTTAGTGCATGAGGATCTGCCAGGGAGGCGTCACCAGTCGCCTTCGAGGTCTTCCCCAAACCGCAGCTCAACTGTGGGCCAGCGAGTGAAATTGGACTTGATTAGTGTGAGATAGCGATAAGACGACAGCATCAGCAGACTGCTCAAGTTTCTTCTTGGTGTATTTTATTTTCTGTCATCTTAAAAAACCCCGGTTGTCCAAACCTCACTGGTTGTGTACAGATTTGTACACACCTGAACCTCATCAGTCTCTCATTAACAAACAGGTTAGCCAAAAAACAAAACGCTGTACATCTATCTTACAAACTCATTTACTCTCAAATGGTTTCAAAAGTAAAACACTTTATGCAGTACAACTCAAAAAGCTTGTACCCAGTGATGCAGTCAGTGACATCATGAGCCTTCATAAACAGGAAGTGCTGGGCCGGCCCCGCCCACATACCTGCTCTGGATGTGAGATCTGAGCAAAGGGACAAACAACAGTAAGTGTAACCAAAGCAACGTCAACAAGCATAATTCAACAAAAATGTTCCTTTAACAGAAAAAGGACCTGATGGTTCAATAGTGTTAACTTTAAAAACATAAACATGGATGTAAACTAACATAATGCAACCACAAACTAACCCGGGATAGTAAGTAGAGCAAAGCTAGAACAGCACACTAAAGCATTGTGGGTTTAGTTTAGACGTAGACTGCTTTATCTTTGCTCCTTTGCAGTGTTTCGAAGCTGACACGCGGGGGTTTAGAAATACACAATCCAGAGAGCTGAACCAGTCTGGAGCTCGGGATCATTGAAAATAAATGATTGATTCTTGCTAAGAGCATCATTTTTATTGAATCACATCACATGAGCGATGTGGGTAGAGATTTCCATCTAGACACATCGTCTTCTACGTTCTTTCTTTAAACAGTTATGGACATATAACACTGTGGAGTATGTCAAAGCTTGCAGCGCCTCCATCCTCTTAAAATTTATGAATTATTATAAATTTTTATTGTTACCAATTATTGAAACATTTTTCTGTGTTATTTAATTGTTGAAGCAATGAGAAAATGTGTTTTAATACAGTCAGATATTTGAATTCTGACAGCTGTTTACAAATATCTGTCATTTCTACTCTTTACCAAACAGGCTTGTTACTTGAAAGTGAAATGCATTTGAGGTATTTTTTACATCATTGCATGGCTTCATGAATCAAAACCATTTCAGCCTAAACAGGAACAGATCCAGTCCAGTAGCTCCCACCCACCCCATGAGGTGCCGTCACGGGAGGCTGTTCAGCTGAAAGGACTCCTGCCTGCGGCTCTCTCTGTACAGCTTTTATAAGCACTCATACGTGCGACAATAGTATCTGCACCTCAATTTCAGCTTCATTTATATTTCAATTTTGTGTCATATATCAGAATATTTATATATTAGAGCTATTCTGTAATATACTCTA